TGCCATACGCGATCAAAAACTTCTTTGACATCATGGAAGTCTGCTGAACTGTACTGCTTATTCTCGAAAGCTACAGTGTGCTGCGTTACCCGATGGGCTTGCTCTGGTGTGCCATGGTGACTTCTAAAGCCAAACTGCTGGTCTGGAATGGCGTCCTGTATACTTCTTACTGCCATCATTTTACTAAGGAATATTCTTTCAAATATTTTAGAAAAGGTGGGCAGCAAACTTATTGGTCGCTAGGACGCAACAAGGTTTTCCGGTTTTCCTGGCTTGGGTATCATTGATATCACAGCACACTTCCACTGAGTGGGAAAATGGTGGATACGTAACATGGAGTTGAAAAGGAAAACTAGGAATAGTATACCCTTCTTAGGTAACGCCTTGGCCGTTCTGCTGTCAATGCCGTCAGCTTGCGAATTTGAAGACAGACCTCCTCCGGGCTCACTTGAGGGATAGGTTCGATTGCGGAGGAGGGTGCATTTAGGAATGCTAGGTCTTCATCGACGTCTTCAGGCGACGTCTTCTAGCAAGACTGAGTGGCTGAAAGCAACCTTCCAATTCCTCAGCAAAGGCCATCGAATTTCGCTGTCTGATCTGCACCATGTGTTGTCGGCACGCTTTATTGGAATTCGGAGAGGGGGCTGTCGTTTAATATTCCTTGTTGCTCTCCAGCAAAGTATTCACTCTTTGTTCTAAGCAAAAGTTTCTTAAGATCGTCCTTAGCACGACATATTCTCTTTTGACAGCAGGGACTCGAGTACGCATAAATCTGCGAAGCAATGTCCTTTTAAGCCTCACCAGATCCAGGACCTCAGGTTTTAAAAGGGCATGAGCTGGATCAGATGGGCTGTTTGGTCTTTGGCCGCAGGTTGATGATTCAGCAGCGATGTTAATATTTCGCACAAACATTTAAGTAGCATCGTCAATGTCATCAGGAGTGCTTAGCTGCATGCAGACGGCAAGCGCTGGCTGTACGGGTAATTTGTAGGCCATCCGGTAGCAAGTACCTGCATATGAGATGCGAGTATAATATCCGCTAGAGTTCTGCCCCTGTTTGTAGAGTTACGTGATCCCCAGAGACGATGATGTGCATTCCAATCCCCTGCAATTGTGAAACTTGGTCCAAGCTCTAGAAGCTCTTCGTATTGATTAGCTGAAAGCTGAGGATTTTGGGGACAACATATACACGCAATGACTATTTCCCCTTGGTCAGTTTTGACTTTGACCACAACACACTGAGCCGCTTGGTGTTCCACACATAAAAATTAGTAGTATTTAAGGCACGATTTGATGATAACTGCTGATCCTCCGCGATGGCGATCAGCAGGATGGTTTGACAGATGAACGTCATATCCCCTTAGCTGGTAGTATGATCTAGAGCAGAAGTGAATTTCGCTGACCAACATAATGTCGATATGATGTTGCTTTACAAAAAGCTCCATCTCGAGTGACTTGTTGGTCAACCCGTCGGGGTTTCACACACCTATTTTGAGTCCAATTTCACTCATGGTTGGGCTTCAAAGACAGAGTGGAGACCAGCGACTGCTTGTGCAGATCCTGGCGCTATTCGGGGTAAGAGGTTTTTTATAAGGGACATCATTGACATAATCATCTGTAGCATTTTGTGAAACCGAGCAGACAGTTTTTCTTCAGATCGTAGATATATTTATTCATGTTGCTCCCGTTGCTGATCGTTTTGGAATTGCTGGAGAATTCGTTGATGTTGCTGCTGAAAGGACTGTTGCTGCTGTTGGCGGGCCTCTGGGTGTTGTTGTTGGCCTAGGGCTGTCGTCTGGATGGTTTGTGGCTGTAGTCGAGGGTGGTTCTTTGGTTTATGTTGCTGGTTAGGCCTCCTATTGCTTGTTCCCAGTGGAGGGAATTGGTTCTGGTGCTGTTTTGCAAGTTGCTGCATCTGAGGTCGGACACCCTGTTGAGTTTGGTGTCGAGAATGACCATTGTTGACATTTGCCTATGACAGAGCCCACGACATCCGATCGAACAGTCGCCCTTTTTGTAGAGGATTTTTGGGGAACAACGGTCCCCTGTGATGGAAGATTCTTTCTACGTCTTATTGTCTGCTAGTAGACAACACATTCCTTATAATTAGCTATGTGATTTTCACCACAATTTACGCATTTGACAGGATGAATATCTCGCTCACAAGCCTCTGTGGCATGCTTCTGACCACATCGCACACAGTTATGATCCAGAAAATAGTTCTTCTTTATATGGTTGAAGTCCTAGCAACGATGGCATTGTACGACTTCATCCTTTTTGTAGGGTAACTCCACTTGAACACGCTAAAGACATAGAGTCTTAACTTCGTGGATTTCCTTGTTGGTTGAAGATGGCTCTAGTTCAACAAACACTAGTCAACTTTGTTTTGTCGAAACGGATTCTTGGTCTTTTAATGAAACAAGGCTTCGGAATCTAATCTGAAATCCCAATTCTCTATCTTTGATAGTTCGAGAAATCCGCCTTCATATGTACCATTTTTTGAAGTTTGTGGGCGGTTTGTGGGCAATGAAGTGGGCGTGGCAAACTTGTATTTGGGTTAACAGATAGGTATTTTATTATACCCGTTACTCGTAGAGTAAAAGGGTATACTAGATTCGTCGGAAAGTATGTAACAGGCAGAAGGAAGCGTTTCCGACCCCACAAAGTATATATATTTTTGATCAGGATCACTAACCGAGTCGATCTAGCCATGTCCGTCTGTCCGTCTGTCTGTCCGTCCGGATGAACGCTGAGATCTCGGAAACTATGAGAGTTACAATACTGGGATTAGGCACGCAGATTCCTGAGATTCCTGCGCAGCGCAAGTTTGTTTCAGTAGAGTGCCACGCCCACTCTAACGCCCACAAACCGCCCAAAACTGTGGCTCCTACAGTTTTGATGCTAGAATAAAAATTTTAACTGAAATGTATTGTTCTCATCAATACCTATCGATTGACCCAAAAGAAAGTTTGCCACGCCCATTCTAACGCCCACAAACCGCGAAAACCTGTGACGCCCACAATTTTCATGCTAGTTAAAAAATTTTAACTGAAATGTATTGTTCTCATCAATACTTATCGATTGACCCAAAAAAAAATTTGCCACGCCCACTTTAACGCCCACAAACCGCGAAAACCTGTGACGCCCACAATTTTCATGCTAGATAAAAAATTTTAACTGAAATGTATTGGTCTCGTCGATACCTATCGATTGATCCAAAAAAAAATTTGCCACGCCCACTCTAACGCCCTTAACGCTTAAATCTGTATACCGCCGGTAGGTGGCGCATTTTAATCTCGCTTTGCTGCTTGCATATCTCCATTAAGCTGAGTAACGGGTATCTGATAGTCGAGGTACTCGTCTATAGCGTTCTTCCTTGTTTTTTATTCTAGCGTCAAAACTGTAGGAGCCACAGTTTTGAGCGGATTGTGGACGTTAGAGTGTGCGTGGCATATTCCCGTAACAAACTGAAGTTCCGATTCTCTATCTTTGATAGTTTCCGTGATATCCGCGCTCATATCTACGATTTTATGAAGTTTGTGGGCGTTAGAGTGGGCGTTGCACCCTGCTGAAACAGACATGCGCTGCGCAAAAAGCTCAGGAATCTGCATGCCAAATCCCGTGGCAAATTTTTGTTTGGATCAATCGATAGGTATTGACAAGACCAATACATTTCAGTTAAAATTTGTTTTCTAGCATGAAAATTGTGGGCGCCACAGGTTTGGGCGGTTTGTGGGCGTTAGAGTGGGCGTGGCATATTCGCGTAACAAGCTTGCGATGCGTATAAGGCTCTAAATCTGAAAACCCAATTCTCTATCTCTAGCTCTTACAGTTTCCGAGATCTCAGCGAGATGAAAGTTGTGGGCGCCACAGGCTTGGGCGCTTTGCGGGCTTTACGGAATCTAAATCTGAAAACAACAATTCTCTATCTTTGATAGTTTCCGAGATATCCGCGTTCATATTTGCGATTTTTTGAAGTTTGTGGGCGTTAAAATGGGCGTGTCACTCTGCTGAAACAGACATGCGCTGCGCAAAAAGCTCAGGAATCTGCCAAATCCCAATAGTCCAGCTCTTTCAGTTTCCGAGATTTCAGCGTTCATCCGGACGGACAGACAGACGGACATGGCTAGATGGAGTCGACTAGTGATCCTGATCAAGAATATATATACTTTATGGGGTCGGAAACGCTTCCATCTACCTGTTACATACTTTCCGACGAAGCTAGTATACCCTTTTATTCTACAAGTAACGGGTGTAAATACATACAATACATCAGGTAAGCGTTTCTGTCTTAATAGAAGTTTTACTTTTTAATTGTAAGCCAAGCAACCACAACTGATATTCTATATTTAATAATAACGTAATATTTAATATAGTTACATAAACTAACTTATTGGTCAATTTGACCAAATAAATTTTGTTGCTTGTAATAACATCTAGTTTTCACCATTGACCGACAAAAAGACTCCGAAATTGTAAGCTGGCGTGAACAACAGTAAATGTTACGTACTAAGTTGCTAACTTTTGACGGAAATCAAACTGTATAACATCTGTAAACGGACGAGCTGACTTGCTCTGCTGAGAGCGACAACATAATACAGATATCAATCTCGAATAAAACTTTCTAAGCGAGGATAAACGACCTTTACAGATCGGTTACTGACAAGGAATGGTCAGAAAAGAGAGGACGGTGAAGATCAAAACTTTTCTTACCAAAACAGGACACAAGACAATTGCTCCAGAAACTGCAGGTATCCTAGAGAACAGGAAACACCGGAGCATCTACTGTGCTACTGCCCAGCGCTAAACCACGTCTCTTAGGGGCAGTAGGAGCAGTTGCAATTGCGGGTCTTCTAAGCTTCCCAAATTAGAGGTCTCACCACATTAACCTACCCAACTACAAAAGTAAAAATAAAAGAGGTAGGTATTCTTATTAAATACCATCCTACCACAAACCAAAGTAATTCCATCAATAATATTTGCCATCATTCATACAACTCTTTGTTAAATCTCATATATATTAATCATATAAATACATTATTAAATTTTTTAGTTTGGTTTTGGTTTTTGTTTTTCCCTTCGTTTACTTTGTTACTCTTTTCATTTCTTCTCATCTATTTTCAATTTTTCGTTTGGTTTTTAACCGAAGGTCGTAAATGAGTCTACTTTAATAATAATAATAATAAAAAAAAGTATTATTACAATAACAGCATAACGTATACCGTAACTCAACTATCATGGTAGATAGAATAGAACAGAAAATACATTTTAATTAATTAAACGACTGCACTCAGGGTTTTCCAGCTAGCTGCCGGACGCTGAAACGGAAAACTTAACCAGCACTAAATGCCTGGTCTTTCTCCACACCATCCATTCATCTAAAATGGTAAATCGTTCATCCACACATCATACTTCACAAGTCGGCCTTCGTATATCGCGCAGTTATCGAACGCAAATCCATCTCATGATCGACCGCAGGTGGGCAGGTTGACGCGAAAGAACACATTGAGTTCAATGAGGGAGGCGAAAACCATAAAGACAAGATACATCACTAGGCAGGCGGTTCCCACCTTCTTATCCAGCTTGAACTTGTTCGTAGAGAAGGTTAGGTAAAGCAAGAACAGCGTCGAGAGCAAAGTGATCGCCGAGTACTCCAACCCGGCCGAATTTATTGCCACGTAGTTCTGGCCCGGCTGGATCGGGAAGAAGACGGCCTTGATCAGCCATGGCACCCCCAGGCACAGCAGGATGTCGAAGGTGTTCGACCCAATCGAGTTGCAGATCCCCATCGATCCGTGACCTGTATCAGATTCTTGAATTCCACACATTCTCTGACATCGATTTTCAAATACTTACCGCGCTTCGCCACGATCACACTGGACACCGCTTCAGGAACACTGGTTCCAGCCGCCAGGAACGTAATCCCCATCACCGAATCAGGTATCTTAAGTGTGTCACCTACGGAGAATAAAAATTATGAATACAAATTGAAACAAGGAAGAACTCTATAGTCGAGTACCTCGACTATCAGATACCCGTTACTCAGCTAAATAGAGATATGCAAGCAGCAAAGCGATATTAAAATGCGCCACCTACCGGCGGTATACAGATCTAAGCGTTATGGGCGTTAGAGTGGGCGTGGCAAATTTTTGTTTGGATCAATCGATAGGTATTGACAAGACCAATACATTTCAGTTAAAATTTGTTTTCTAGCATGAAAATTGTGGGCGCCAGAGGTTTGGGCGGTTTGTGGGCGTTAGAGTGGGCTTGGCATATTCGCGTAACAAACTTGCGATGCGTATAAGGCTTTAAATCAGAAAACCCAATTCTCTATCTTTGATAGTTTCCGAGATATCCACGTTCATATTTACGATTGTTTGAAGTTTGTGGGCGGTTTATGGGCGTTAGGGTGGGCGTTTTTTTTGGGTCAATCGATAGGTATTGATGACAACATTACATTTCAGTTAAAATTTTTATTCTAGCTTCAAAACTGTAGGAGCCACAGTTTTGCGCGGTTTGTGGGCGTTAGAGTGGGCGTGACACTCTACTGAAACAAACTTGCGCTGCGTAAGAAGCTCAGGAATCTGCACGCCAAATCTCAATAGCCTAGCTCTCATAGTTTCCGAGATCTCAGCGTTCATCCCGACAGACAGACAGACGGACATGATCGCCACAGGTTTAGGCGTATCAAACTTGCGCTGCGTACAAGGCTGCGAAATCTAAATCTGAGATCCCATTTCTCTGTCTTTGATAGTTTCCGAGATCTCAGCGTTTATACGGAGACGGACAGATGAACAGACGGACATGGCTAGATCGACTCGGCTAGTGATCCTGATCAAGAATATATACACTTTATGGGTTTACATACTTTCCGACGTATCTAGTATACCCTTTTACTCTACGAGTAACGGGTATAAAAATGATAGGAAGACATTTAAATATAAGTTACTGGTCCGCGCACAAAAGTCAGTCACTAAAAAATAAGACCGCAGGAATTTTTTGTCAATTTGCGCATACTGTTATACCAGCTAGAAGTTGCTCTTCACTTAAAAGGGTTTCTTTGATATGCAGATATTTTTAATATATGTAGGTACAGAAAACAATTACTGTTACAAAATATTAAATAAGTTAATTAGATGCAGATGAGGACAGGTCCAAAAACATAATAGATATAATTTGATTCCTATTATTTTCCCATTAATTTTTCCAACGTTCCTGTCAGCTATATGATTAGGTCGTCCGATTTAAATCAAATTTTATTAGTAATTGTGAAATCTTAATTCTGTGAGACTATAGTCTATTAAAAACTATAGTTTTGTTAGACATGGACAGAAATGCGGACGTAAATGAATAAAGTATACTTATGGGATCGAAAATGCCTCCTTCTCTGCGCTACAAACTTCTGACGAACAAAGCAAAACAAATTTGTGCGTATTTTTTCCATTGATTTTTCTTTTAACTTTCCAAATCGCTGTCATGGAAAATATATAATTCAATCGTCCCATTTAAAAAGAAGGAAGAACGCTTTGTCGAGTACCTCGTTTATCAGATATCCGTTACTCAGCTAAAGGAAGCCCAAGGGAGATGGAGATATGCGCCACCTAGCGGCGATTAAAATATTTGGAAATAATTTAACGGCCCTAGTTGAACAATTTGTAGATAGGTAGTTAGCAGTGTTACAATTTTTGTCGTGGGTATATGGGTATTGATAATAACAAAAAAATCTCATTTAAATTTTAACAAAATATTAACAAATGTGGGCGCTAGGCGGGTTTTAGCGTTATGTGCGAGTGTGGGCGTGGCACAAAAATCGACATGCTAATTCCCAACTCTTAGAGCTTCCGAGATCTCAGCGTTCATCCGGACGGACGGACAGACAGACAGACGAACAGACGGACAGACGGGCATGGCTAGATCGACTCGGCTAGTGATCCTGATTAAAAATATATATAATTTATGGGATCGGAAACGCTTCGTTCTACCTGTTACATACTTTCCGACGAATCTAGTATACTCTTTTACTCTATGTTTATTCAATGAAAAAAATGCGTTACTTAGAGTTGAATATCGAAAAACCGCGATTTCTTCAGAAGATACTGCTATGTACACGGGCTTATGTAATTTTAAATGCCGATCCAATGTCTTATGGGGCACATTAGTGGTGGATAACGAAAAAATTGCGAATTCTTAAGATGGCCAAGGTGCCATGCGGTAGCAATTTAATTTAAATTGGATTGGATTAAATTGGTCATAGCTTCTGATTTAATTGACCCCAAGCTACGTTTAATTAATTTTTTATTTAATTATAGAATTTTTCATAACCATTATAATTTCTAATGGAAAATACTCATTAGCATTACACTTTTCAATTGTAATGAAATATTTGTCTATTAACATTAGTTTTGCCAAAAGTAATGCAATGCAGTGAAGGAGACTTTCCGACCCCATAAAGTATAAATATTCTTGATCAGCATCACTGGACGAGTCGATCTAGCCATGTCCGTCTATCCGTTAGTTTCTACGTAAACTAGTCTCCCAGTTTTAAAGCTATCGGGCTGAAACTTTCCCAAAAATCTTCTTTCTTTTGCAGGTAGTATATAAGTCGGACTTAGCCGGATCGGACAACTATATCTTATAGCTCTCATAGGAATAATCGGAAAAAACAAAAAAGAAAATCAAGGAAGAACGCTATAGTCGAATACCTCGACTATCAGATACCCGTTACTCAGCTAAATAGAGATATGCAAGTAGCAAAGCGAGATTAAAATGCGTTATGGGCGTTAGAGTGGGCGTGGAAAATTTTTTTTAGACCAATCGATAGGTATTGACGAGACCAATACATTTCAGTTTAAATTTTTTATCTAGCATAAAAATTGTGGGCGTCACAGGTTTTCGCGGTTTGTGGGCGTTAGAGTGGGCGTGGCATATTCGCGTAACAAACTTGCGCTGCGTATAAGGCTACGAAATCTAAATCTGAAATCCCAATTCTCTATCTTTGATAGTTCCGAGATATCCACGTTCATATTTACGATTTTTTGAAGTTTGTGGGCGGTTTATGGGCGTTAGGGTGGGCGTGGCAAACTTTTTTTGGGTCAATCGATAGGTATTGATGACAACATTACATTTCAGTTAAAATTTGTATTCTAGCATCTAAACTGTAGGAGCCACAGTTTTGGGCGGTTTGTGGGCGTTAGAGTGGGCGTGGCACTCTACTGAAACAAACTTGCGCTGCGTAAGAAGATCAGGAATCTGCACGCCAAATCTCAATAGCCTAGCTCCCATAGTTTCCGAGATCTCAGCGTTCATCCGGACAGACAGACGGACAGACGGACATGGCTAGATCGACTCGGCTAGTGATCCTGATCAAGAATATATATACTTTATGGGGTCGGAAACGCTTCCTTCTGCCTGTTACATACTTTCCGACGAATCTAGTATACCCTTTTACTCTACGAGTAACGGGTATAATTATATCTTTGGTGTCTTTTAACATATAGCCTCCTAAGCTTTGAAATAAAATTGTTTAATTAGTTTTGAGTTTCGAATTAAATTTTATCAAAATCGGACGACTATATCATATAGCTGCCATAGGAACGATCGGAAAATTGGTGGGAAAATAATATGAAACAAATCATAGCTCCGGTGTTTTTTGACATATTATCTTATACTATTGGGAATGTCATTTTTTGTATTTTTAAGAATTTCGAATTAAATTTAATAAAAATAAGACGACTCCAACATATAGCTGTCAAAGAAACGGTCAGGGAAATAATTAAATAATTATTATACCTTTGCATTTGTTTTTATATTATTTGTAACTGATTTTATTTTGCTAAGTGTTACAGAAATTGTCTTCTATTTCAACTATCAAAGCTTATAATATGAAGTATATATATTCTAGATGAGTCGATCTAGCCATGTCCGTCTGTCCGTCCGTTTCTACGCAAACTAGTCTTTTAGTGTTAAAAGTATCGGGCTGAAACTTTCCCAAAAGTCTTATTTCTTTTGCAGGTAGTATATTAGTCGAAACCACTCTAACGCCCACAATCGCACAAAACGCTTAAGTCTGTTTGCCGCCCACATAATCAAATATTGAAATCGCGGGTAGGTGGCGTTTTGCCGCTTGGATATCTCCCTCTTGCTCCCTTAAGCTCAGTATCGGGTATTTGATAGTCGAGGCATACGAAAATTTGTTTGTTGTGAAAGTTAATGATTTTTCATTTCAATATTTCTTGGCTGGTATAAACCACAAAATTGTTTTATTTTCTTTAGAACTAATATATATATGTCTCACCGATAATGGTTATCATCCACGCAACCACATAGGACAGCGAGCCGATCCAGACGATGCACATGATGAAGGTAAGCGGAAAAATCTTGTTGTTCTTGGCCTTCTTGCAGTCAGGGATGGCGATGCGAAATAGCAGGTGGATAGGCCAGATGATGAGCCAGGTGAACTGGGCGAAACAGCTCTTCTCCTTTGGGTAAGTGAGCAGGGAGTAGCCCTCTTCCTCGCGATCCTCGCCGGCGGCTGTCACAGCTTGCTGTGATTCTGCCTCCCCACCGTCAAGTGTTGCCATCTGGGCAATGACCCCTGGTCCTGACGGCACATCACCTGGCGCACCTCCTTCTCCGCTTGCTTGGGTCGTGGTGCCCATCGTGGTGGTCATGGTTGAGGTGGTGAATGAAATAGTGTTGGTGCCGCCACTGGTGGCACCCGTAGCCTTTGCCTGGTCATTGTTGAGTCCTCCATTCAGCTGAATGTTGGCCATGTTTTGGCAAATGCGATTCTCTACGAGCTCTGCGAGAGTGGGTTTTAAAGAACATCGAAATAAGCTATTAATATAGTTCAAAAAGCGGGACCATGGGTCTGAAGATAGGGGTCAGATGTAGTAGGTGTTAGGTGTTGACTAGTGTGGATATGGTGGTTTATTGTGTACCTGGTTCCTTTTCATTGCTGTTCTTTGTGTGTATGCTGCAGTTGGAGGACCTGCTGCGCGAACGAGCCTGCTTAACGCCACCTGTGTAGTATTGTGAGAGTAAGGTAAAACGAATATAAATGCTATTCCTGGCGCGACTTTGCCCGCGCCTAACAATGCTTAACATTTTTCAGCAGAGCTAACAAAAATGTATTTATTGTACATAAAAAATTAAAACAAATTTTTTTTAAAATTGGACAGATCTGTCGACTACATGTAACGTGCAATTCTGTTGATGATTGCCTCTTTTCCCCGTTACGCCTTTTCAATCTTGCGCTTATGTCCACTTTCTACAATGCCTTTGCCCTGTTGACTCTGGTGCATATTTATACCCGTTACTCGTAAAGTAAAAGAGTATACTTGATTTGATGGACTGTATGTAACAGGTAGAATGAAGCGTTTCCAACTCTCAGGATCACTAGCCGAGTCTATCGAGCCCGTCTGCAAGTCCGTCCGTTCGTTTGAACGCTGAAATCTCGGAAACTATAAGTGCTAGAAAGTTGGGATTTGGCATGTAGATTCTTGAGCGCAAATTTGTTTCAGCAGGATGCCACGCCCACTCTAACGCCCACATTCGACCATAACACTTAAGCCCCACATTTTTTAATATTTTGTAAATATTTTAATGAGAATTTTGTGTTTATTATCAATACTCATCTACATGCCAAAAATTATTTAAGTCGGACCAATCATTAAAAAGATAAAATTAAATAATAATCAATATTTTGCAATCTACCACACGTAGCAAACCACCAAGCCGCTAAGGGCGCTATAAGCTAGTTGGCGCAATAGGCTACGTGACGCTAAATGCTAGGTGACGTTATAGGCTGAGTGGCGCTAGGGGGCGCTATAGGCTAGGTGTGTTATTGAAACAAGCAGAGAGTCTCCATCGCTCTCGCACTTATCTAAGTACCATGTGTTAAATAGTCGAGGTCATCGACTGTAGCGTTTTCTCTTGTTTTTTCTTAGAAAAATGAGACATACCCAAAATAAATCCATGAAAATTCTACACACTATTGCACCTTTATAATTGTTTAAGCAATTTGAATGCAAAATAATAAATACAAATTTGTTCTCATTTGAAATAAGTTTGCCTTTTCAAGAATATGTAAATTTCTGGCTTGGAAACAAAAAATATTTTGAAAAACTTAAGTTGAAATAATAGACTTTTGGCCGCAATCTCTTGAAAACCTCCCACCCAAAACTTAATTTTTATGCCATATTTTTCGTAGTTTTTTAAGTGTTAGTGCACATCATAACAAACACAAAAAGTGCTATTTGAGGTTTGTCGCATGTGGGGATGACACCTTATAATTTTTCGTCCGAAAATTTTTGAGAAGCTACAACATTTGAACGCATAAGCCAATGTTTATGCAGCACTGTTCATAGACAGTTTTCATGAAAACGCGCACTTCCTTCGTCATAATATAAGCGAGGGCGATTGTGTTTGTAACGCTCTTACGAAAGAAAGAAGAAGGGAAGTTATAATTATTAAATTTAAAAATGCAAACAAATAATATTCGAAATAGTATAAGAGAATATGTTAAAAAACACCGAAGCTATAATTTGTTTCATATTATTTTCCAGCTATATGATAAAGTTGTCCGATTTTGAAAAAATTAAATTCCAAATTCAGAACTAATTAAAAAATGGTTTTTCCAAGCGTAAGAGGTTGCATGTTAAAAAACACCGAAGCTATAATTTGTTTCATATTATTTTCCCAATAATTTTTCGATTGTTCCTAAGGCAGCTATATGATATATAGACTCAAAGCGTGTTGTTTTTAGCGGGAGGTTGTTTACAACTTATCTTGCAGACTTTTGATCGTGACATGTGAATATCAATTGCTTTATGCGTCATAAGTATAAAGACAATTGATATAATGGAAGAGTCATCTGCTCACTCGCAGCCTAGCAATAGGAGCGATAAATTTGAGAAGATGAGAAATATAGCTGGTGCAGACCCTGGAGAAAAAATATCCCAAATCCGCGCCCGCCATCCAGGCTAATCTGTCCACCTTACAGGTATGCCCGGTCAAACAACGATCACCAGCTCCACGGTGTCAATTAGCAGTAACTCTACTACTAGTGTTACCTGCACCATTTCAAACGCCCAACCAATCTTGTGCGGTACTTCTACATACACTGTGGCTTCCAAGCTCCTGACCGAAACGTCAGCCGAAAACGTAAAGGCGTGGCTCAGCCCTCTTTACCTGTTCTCACTCCGCCCCCGATCCGCAAAACTAAGTTGCAGGCCTCAATGCCGCTCAACAAGCCGGCAGACTCTTCTTCTGCAAAGTCATTGGGTAACAATCGATTCGCGATCCTGGCTGCTGAATCAGAAAAAATGGAACAGGATCTGGGGGATGCTGACTCTACAAAATCTAACAAGAACAAGCGATCCGGTCATTGGCTCCTCAAACTACAACATTCGCACTTCCAAATTTGGTGTTTCCAACTCAGACGCATTTAGGGTAGCTGTAACACTGACAACGCTTAACTGCCAATTTTGGCACCATCAGCTAAAAGAAGACAAGGCCTACAGAGTAGTGCTCAAAGGACTCCATACCAACGTACCGAAATCACAGATAGAACAGGGATTTACTGACAACGGCTTTCAGGACCTTAACATATACTGCCCCAAAAGACTGATTGGAAGAACATTCAGGTTAACGAGGATGATAACGAAGATACAATAAATTATTAAACTAGACAAAATTTGTTTTATGTCAACCTTAAGCAGGGTGCAAACGTAGCGGAGTCCCTAAAAATTACTCAACTAGGGAGATACATAGTCACTGTCGAGCGTGCTTCCCGTAGAAAGGAATTACTCCAATGTCAAATATGCTGAATTTTTGGGCACTCTAAGAACTACTGTGTCCTGAACCCTGCTCGTGATAAATGTAGTGGCCCTCATGTTACTGGTCCCGTGCTTTGTGTAAGCGATACATGCTTGTGAGTAAACTGTGGCGGTAACCACGTATCGTCAGATAAAGACTGCCCAGTCAGAATAGAAAAAAATAAAAAACAAAAGCCGAGGCCTAGATTCCCGATAGCCGATGATACACGACGCGCCTCGCGTGGATTCATACCAGCTGAGGCATTAAGAACGAATATATCGTATGCTGATATATGTAGCTCGATCCGAGGATATGCAAGCAAGGACTGGCTCCACCCTGCAGAGTGACGCAAGCTCTCCTTCCGACCCTAGACTCAGCCATAAGTTCACAGCCATAGATAATGCCATCCGCGACATCAATACCAAACTGGACACTTTATTTAAGCTGATGCAGGAAAATGCAGAGTCCTAAAAGACTTTCAGAGAGCTGGTCCAGGTTCTCATTGCCAGATTGCCGAAATGACTCAACCAGCATTAAATATCGGATTGTGGAACGCTCGTGGACTAGTCAGAGTATCTGAAGAGCTTCGATTATTCCTCAGCGCTCATAATTGTCTCAGAAACTCGCATGCGCGATGGTCAGCGCGTCTACTTTCCAGGCTATCTTATCTACCATGCTTATAACCCCAGTGGCAACAGCAGAGGTGGCTCTGCAGTCATTATAATGGATTCCCTTAGTCACAATCGCCTGCCCCCGCCTCTAGCAACGACAGACAGATAGCGACAGTCCAGTTAGAGATAGCGACGATATATCTACCTCCAGCAGAAAGATGGATTCAATCAGAATTTGAATCCTTGCTCACCGGACTTGGAAGCAAATTTATTGCTGGCGGTGACTATAATGCCAAACATGCATGGTGGGGAAACGCACGAGCCTGTAGCAGGGGAAAGCAGTTGGAAGAAGTCATGGCAAATGGGCATTACCAAGAACTTGCCACGGGTGAACCCACTTTCTACTTATACAACCCCCTGATAACACCGACAGCGCTTGATTTTTGCATAATGAATGTACAGACAGGATACAAGTAAGAACTCTCCATGAACTCTCCCCGGACCACTCTCCTATACTGGCCATACTGCATGCCACACCTGTGAAAAAACCACAGCGTTTGCGACTACTTGCCAGAGGTGCTAATATAAACGCTTTCAAAGCCTACCTAGAACAGCTGAGCGATGTTAACATACAAGTCCAGAACCTTCTGACATTGACAATGCTATCAACCTTTTCGTGCGCATGATAATAGAGGCTGCTGAGATAGCTGCACCTAGGAATCGCCAAAGTACAGAGACCTCTAGACATCTCCAGCTACCACCCAGAATTGGGGCACTTCTCAACCTAAAGCGAAAAGTAAGAAGAGAATATGCAAGAACGGAAGACGCCCGAATCCATCAGATACATAATTGGCTGGCTAACTGTCTAAGCAAGGCGCTCCCGAAAAAAACAAGAGTCTATAGACAGCTTTTTAGAAAATCTGGACACAGACGCTAGTAATAACTACTCGCTTTGCCGTTTCACAAGACGATAAAAGGCTCATCCCACCCCTAAATCAGCAATTCGAAACCCCTCAGGTGGCTGGTGCCGTACGAGCCTAGAGAAAGCTGATGCGTTCACTAACAACCTCGATCAACGTTTCAAGCCTTACGACTGTTCGCCTGAAAGCATACGTCGACAATTTGAAGAGTTTCTGGAATCTCCATTTCAAATGAGCCTGCCTGCTAAACCTGTCTTACTGACAGAGATGAAACACCTTGTAGGTAAACTTTCACCGAACTAACTCTTGGACACCCGAAAGTTTGAAAATCGGCGAATTTAATCATGATCCCAAAACCAGGAAAATCGCCAACTGACGTGGATTCATACAGGCCCATTAGTCTTTTATCATCCCTGGGAAAAATCATGGGAAGGCTGATCCTGAACAGGCTACTCACTTACGAGAATGTCATCAGAGCGATTCCGGAATTTCAGTTCAGCTTTCGTCTTTAACACGGAACTCCTGAGCCATTGCACAGAGTTGTTAACTTTACTTTAGAAGCCTTGGAGAAGAAGGAGTATCTAGTTGCTGCCTTCCTTAACATCCAGCAGGCTTTTGACAGAGTGTGGCACCCTGAGCTCCTGTAAAAAGCTGTTCCAGCTCATGAAAATC